GGGGGGGGGGGGGAGAAATTTTTTTTATTTAAAAAAGAGGGATTTTTACGCAAAATAGTGTGCCAAATATATTGTTTACTTTTTCAATCCATTATACATAAATTATGCATTAATTATATATGAATATACATATACTATACATGAATTATATATAATGTAAATTAGTTAATAGTGTAAAAATTCTTGGTATTGTTAGTATATATAAGTTAAATCCTAGACGCCATACTTTTCCGAACAGAGTATCAAGAAACAAAGGCCCTATTACCATGTTCTGTAATAGCTTTTATTAACGGATCTTTATGCAAACTTTGCTAGCCAGTATATATAAATTATACATTTATTATACATGTTATATATACACATGTTATACATGGATTATATATATATATATATATATATCCACAGATTATTTTTAATTTACAATGTTGGGTAAATGGTTATTCAAGTTAATTCGTCAAGCAAACAATTAGGTATACCTGATGCCATGTCCAGGGCCACAACCAATCTTCTGAATCAACATATTCATGGAGCCAGGGCCAATGGAAATGCAGTCATCTCCAGTTTGGATGATGCTATCTTTGATTGTAACATCCCTGGAATTCTCCACATGAATCCCATCTGTATTTGGACTTCCACTTGGAGATCTTATTCTCACATTTTGGACTCTCACATGGCTACTATAATCAATTGCCACATTCATTATTTGGCTGTTCAATGATTTCAATCCACTTAGCAGTACATTATCACACCACAAAAATGTTATTGACTGCAAAAAGATCAAGCTAGTGTGAGAAAATATATTGATCATATTATGCAATACATAGTATCAAAATAATATTATAGCAACTTGTAAAGTAATTTTTATTCTTTAATACAACAATGACAACCACGTCTTAACCATAAATAAGTTGGATCAGTTACATGATTCATCATTAACCATGTTTTTCCATTTAAATTCACCTCAGGTAAATATCTTACAAAAATTAAACAAAATAAACAGTACTAGAAGTTCTCTATATTCTTACTTGCTCAATGGAGTAGTATAGATGTGCTATTTCCATTTTAATCGTAATAATAATTTTACCGAGTCAACGGTGCTATAATTACATTTTGTAAGTTGACTTAAAAAAATAATTACGTCCCCAGCTAGTAATGTAGTAAAATATTATTACAGGCGTTATGTGTTGTAATATTTTAGATGATTTAATTTAATAGTATACAAATTCTTTTACACTGGTATTCTATATATAGAAGTTATACTCTGGTTATACTAATATAAATATAAGGTTAATTAAAGAGGAACCTAGATATCAATTATATACGTACCCTAGCTCCAGGAGGGCAAGAATGACCAGATCTTCTACAAGACCAAAAACCATGTCCTTTAGCATCAATTGTTCCACCATAGACAGAAAGTCTACTTACTTTATAAAACAAAATCCAAAAGCTAGAACCTCCAATCACATTATAATCTGCCGGAGCAACGACAGTTCCGTCAATTCGGATCCGGCATGGGCCAGTGAATGTCACTGGCCTAATAACGTACGTTCCTCGAGGAACATAAACGTTATTCGGCTTAGCTGAGCTGCAGGCTGCCATCCAAGCACGAAGAAATGGCGCGGTTGAGTCTGTCCTTCCATCTCCTCTAGCCCCAAAACTAACCACATTGTAAGCTAAACAAGAAGGTATTATTAGTAATATGGAAGAAGAGAAAATGAAAAGTTGCAAAGATAGAATTGTATTGAAGTTAGCCATGTTGCTTATGGAGTAATGTGAAGATTAATGTGTACATTTATAGCTTAGTGACTAAAATGTCAATCGTACGTTGCGTACTGAAAATATGTGTAGGAAATTTAGATGAATCCTTGGGAGATGTGTCTCTAATTAATGTAGAAATTTTCAAAATTAGAAGAAAGCTCACGAGATTAAGAATGGTTGTAAGATCCATGAAGAACGCCAAAATTAAAATGCATTTGTTTGAGTAGAACATCAACATGTGAGTTGCTAGTTCTCAAATGCTATAGTCATTATTAGCTTAGCTTTGTATATAGAAAAATATTTAGAAGTGTTAATTATAAAACCGTTTTTAAATTTTAACGAAATTTATGTATTTTTATAGTGATCTCAAGTTGATACTATAAAAATAATTGAATTCCCGTAACCAACACAGTAGATCCACCCTAGTTAATTTGATACGTATACGTACTGATTGGAAGGACAAAGAGATTTTAGAATTCTGTGTAGTGTCAGTTCTATGTTAATTGCTGTTGGCTTATACGAATAAAATAAATGTAAAATGAGCATAAGACAAAGTTCTCACCTTTACAATTTGACTATCCTCCCCCACTGATACTTAAGTTGAAAGAAAATAGCTACACAGAGAAGGTCAATAGAGGACATATATATTTTCTTCCATGTTTAGTTTTATGACACCGGCATACAAATTTTCTTTCTTCATGAGACTGTAATACTAATTTAAGAGGAAAATATACATGAGACTGTCATTTATTTTGTCGAAGAAAATAATAATTTAAACTCTAAGTATCGCGTTTTTTGTTAGATTTCATTACACATAAGCCAGCCCTCAATCTCGTCTTAAACTATAATTAAGATGGACAAGAGGCAATTAATTACAAAAAGCTCAGGCAAGAGGAAGGAAAGCAATTAATCAATAATAAATGCATAGAGATTATAGATTTGCGAAGTTAATTAAGTTAAAGATGGGAATATTCTTTTGATTGGTTTAACCGGCGACAAAGGCGAGACTCTAGCATTTTTCCTTAATTAACATTGACATCTGGCATCTTCCACATTTTAATATTCAATAGCCTAAGTAGGGTTGTGATCATGCGTGACGTTCTTATGTTGGATCATCACGGGTTATTACTCGTTTCAAATCCTACGAGATCTTATTATGTTGATCATCAAAAATGTTTTTCAGTTTTTATAAGAACAGAATAAAGTTTCTCATTTTCAAGAGAAAGAAAAATTGTAAGAGTTTATATATTCCTTCTTAAAATGTAAACATGTACATGAAGTATATTTATGAAGTAGGAATATGTTGAACTGTACGTTGATGTTGTGTAGATGCGACGTTGCACATAGACTAACCCTGACCTAGCGGATAGTTATGTTAATCAACCACCCATTACACCATCAAGAGTTAGTTGAGAGATGGACAGGATTCTCCCACCCTCAATTATAGGTTTTGAGTTCAGCTTGAAAAAGAAAAAGATCCTGGATAGGGAGCGCTTCCTTTTTTGATGGACCTTACACGAAGCAAAATGCGTAGTTATGACTCCAATGTGAGTACTGAATACCAATGTGAGTACTGAATACCGGGTGAGGAACTCAGACAGAAAAAAAAAATACTTACTAGTGATTGTTATTTGCGCATTTACAATTTCCTCAATTACTTCTTAATGGCATGTATATGTTCAATGGCATTACATGAATAAGGGTCTGATTTGACCTTCACAGGGGATAGCGAGGAAAATGGGGGTGAATAGGCATTTCACGAAATCTGAGAACAAAGAAGTATTATATGCTATTATTCATTGAATCCTACTCCCTCTTCACATTAAATGACCAATTTGCCTTGGTCACACTCATTGAGGAAATACTAAATTCTAGACAAAAATAGTTAGTATGACTAAACTACCCTTAATTGCAGCATAATTTAATGTGAGGAGTAAAAGACTTTTTAGGGATACGTACATAAGGGTAATTTTGGAAAAACAAATTGAATTTTTTCTTGCTTATATAAATGGACACTTATCTTGGACCAAAATAAAAAAGCAAATTGGTCACTTATTATGAACCAGAAGGAGTATAATATTTACTCACTTGAGCAAGTTAGTTCCCACTCCACACTCTCAAGCATGGGCGAAGGCACACTTGGGTTAGGATGGTCAGTTGACCACCCTTTTATTGGAAAACTACATTGCTTATATAGGTAAAATATTAGGTTTTTAGAGATACATAACATATATTGAATATATTTTGTCGGATTTTTTTACTTATTTCAAGTTTGAACACCCTTAAGAAAATCATGGCTTCACCACTACTCTCAAGTCACTATGCACTACTATGAAGTCGAGGCATAGTAACAAAAGAAATTGAGCTAATTCATTAGGGTTCGTTTGGTACGAGGGATAAGGGATAATTACTTTCGGTATTAAATTTGAGATGAGTTTATCCCACGTTTGGTTGAAATAAAATTGTGGTATAACTATTCCCAAGATTAGTTATCACGAGATTGTAGTGTTATTTTATCCTTATAGGAGGGTGGAATAACTAATTCCGGAATAACTAATCATGTGAGAATTAATCATAAGATGAAGTGTTTCCCAATCAAACGACCCCTTAAAAGTGAGAAGTTTTATTTTGTGTCTCATACAATTTACACTAGCTGTATGAGGCTCCTTTTGTCTCACAAATTTGTGGACCCCAATCTTATATTTCTAGGTCTACAAAAATCTGGGTCCACAAAATTGTGAGACAAAAAAGTTGACTCATACAACTAGTGTCAGTTGTATGAGACACAAAATAAAATGGCCTAACTCCATAGTGTGCGTTGTTTCTTACGAATGAAAAAGGCAGAATGGCCTAAATGGCACCTATACTTGTCACATTTTGTCATGTCGGTCCCCAAACTTCACTTGTTTTCATCCAGACACTTTAACTTGATCAAAGCCTATATTTTAAGCCTCTTTGACCGTTGACCAAGCACATGTGGCAACAAAATAGTTGAGCTGGACAAAGTGGGTGTAATTCACGCGGACAACGAGCGTGCATATTAAAATTCTGAACAAAAAATAATTAAAATAAGAAGAAAAAATTAATAAAATAAAAATAAAAATAAATTAAAAAGATAAAGATAAAATAAGTCAAAAGAGATATCGTCTCTTTCAGTTCTTCCCCGCAACCCCACCCTCATTTAATTTTTTTTTTCCTATTATCCCCACCCCCACCTCCACCCAACAAATACCGCACCCCTCTCTTTCCTCTTCCCTTTTGGATTATTTCCCCTGTATGTTGCTTCTTCTTCTTCTTCCCCACCACCCCACCCCAAATCCACCTCCGGCTCTTCCCTTTTCGATTTTTCCCCTTGTATGCTTCTTCTTCTTCTTCCCCACTCCCCCGCTCGTCCCTTCCAACAAAAAAAAACTCAATCCCTAAAGTCTTCTTAAACATTTCTGTATACCTATGGTGTTATTTTTTACTACTCTTGAATCCTGAACAAGTCAAAAATATACTAAAGGGGCAGCGGGTATTAATATACTAAAGGGGCAGCGAGTATTATTTTTCGAGCTAGACGAACAATGGACCATCGAACCTCTTCTCCGCCACCTAACGCCGTCAGCCATGGAAATGGACCATCGAACTTCTTCTCCCACTTTTCGATCTGGAAAAAAACATAATTTTTACTCGGTTTCTTTTCTTTACATATTTTAATTTTATTTCTATAATATAAAAAGGGAAGAATTGGAAGGGGAAAGGAGGAAGAACACGAAGAGAGAGAAGCAAGATGGGCAGGAGAAAGAACGTGAGGGGAGAGAGAAATCAATGAGGGAGGGGATTAGGGAATTAATGTTTGAATTTTAATTTTTATTTTAATTATTTTTAATCTACCATGTGACATGTCATCTACACATTGTTATTTTTTGACGTGGTAGCCAACGTGGAGGAGATTGTATTACACGCATCGGCGATCTTCTGTCATAAGCGTTTATTATACACGATTTAAAGGAGTGTAAGAGTTCAATTGGCAAATTATCAAGTTTGGGGATCGGCATGATAAAGTGGCACAAGTATAGATGTCATTTAGGCTATTCTGCCAATGAAAAAACACAAGTTGGGTTTTCCTATTTGAAGGGTCCTACCGAGGAAGGACATTTACTAATGCAAGTACGTACTAAAAAAATGAACATAACCACATAGGATGCTACTCTGTGATTACAATATAAGACATATCTCATTATTCACTTTAGATTAGTTAAGTCTTTGCTTTATTATTTTCCATGTTGGACTACTTGAGTGCATATACCTTAACGAAATAAATAGGATAAGTAACTACGCTTAATAACGTAACTTTGATTAATACGGGGTCGAATACCTTCTCCACCAATAGAAGCAAATCACTCTATGCAAATTCTTACAACATGGTTACTGTTATGGATAGTTTGTACATTGGATACTACTTTGGATACTACATTGGATACTACATTGGATGCTACATTGGATGTTCATGTTGTGAATAACTTAAAGATTAAATTTCCTATTTTATGTCCATCATCTTTACTTTTTATGCCTATAAAAGGCCATGTAATTGCAATGAAAAATTACACCAAAGTGAAAGAAGAAAACACTTCTCCATTCTCTCTATCTCTTCTTGTTTACATTTTACTGCATTGCTTTTATTTTATAACACGTTATCAGCACGAAGCTCTAATTTTATTCTTAACTCCCGCTAAGTTGAGCCATATTTTATTAAGGTATGTATCATTATAATCATTTTATTTATGGCAGTACATATCATATGCTCATTGTTTGCAGATTACTTGTGCGCTTGGGCATCTTAAATAGTTTAAGTACATTGCAGTGATAAAATAACTATTTCCTTCCGTGCTCAACTCTTAGAGGACCTCAAAGTCATCAAACTAGCTATGCACTAATGTCATACTTATAATATTCATGGACTCCCTAGATCAAAACATATCTTTAAGGCATTTTGAAGAACTGTGAGAAATAAA